TATAAATAAACTTGAATTGAATTGAACTGAATGTAAATACCATGTAATCACTTTACTTTGTTATTATTATTATTTTATTCTACTGTTCTTGTATCTGTAGAACGAGAGCTGCTAACCAACACTAAAAGCAGCCAGCAGGCTTTTATCCGCGTAGGCTGGGGCCCCTGAACTCACCACCGCTAAGCTAAGCTAACCTGTTTTACATCAGGACCATCACAACAGCTGCTAAGAACAAATCAGGTCCTCCTCATCGGCGTCTGTTAGTGGTGACACATTTCCAGTATCAAGTCTGCTCGTCGGATCTAACGTGGATCATCTGGATCAGTAGAACAGGTCACTTCCTGGTCCAGATCTCACCTGGACTCCCTGAGTCCTCATTGCTGCTGACAGCAGGTTCCAGAGGTTGCTCTGCTCCAAACACACCTAGTTCCCATCAGAAGCTGATTGGCAGGCTTCTGCAGGGCCTGATGAGCTGCTGGACAGGTAACTCAGGTGTTGCTGGACCAGGAAACAGCTAAAACATGGAGAGAGCTCTCCAGAACCAGGACTGGACTCCAGTAGATCCAACAGAATCGAGTCCACAATCACCAACCAACCATTCAAATTACTGATGAAAACCCTGGTCAGGACCAACCTCAGAGTGCAGGTCCCACCGGGTCCAGACTCGGTCCTGCTGAAATAAAACCAGAATCCACCAGAACCAGAACCAGAACCGGATGAAGGCAAACTCAGCCAGATGTTTTTATGTCTGAAGTCTCAGACCAGATCCAGGTGATCTCCCAGAGAGGCCGGCTTTCAGGCTTGTCTTGGCTGAGTGTCGCTCGCTCGCTTGTTCTCTCTCACTCTCTCTCTCTCTCACACACACACACACACACACACACACACACACACACACACACACACACACACACACACACACACACCTTCCATCATTAGGCGTCAATATTCAGGTTTGTTTCAAATTAGCACCAAACGAGGTCAGACAAGCGAGCTCATCATCCTGTTATAGCTTCGTCATGCCCACACACACACACACACACACACACACACACACACACACACACACACACACACACACACACACACTGCTCTACTTCTACAGCAGACTGAAGGAGGACGGGAACATCACAGACAAGCATGACACAAAACTTCTGTGTTTTATTATTTTTCTAGATTAAAGTTTTTTTGTTTCATCAGAAACTTGAAATCAGATCCAAACTGAAGTAAAACGCTCCAGAATAAACTCCCCGCTCATGGGAGGGGCCAGGTGTTCTGGGTGAGATGGGCGGGAGCTACGGGCGAGGACCTTGGCGGTCTGACCCTCGGCTGCAGAAGCTGGCTCTTGGGATGAGGAACATCTCCTCTCTGGTGGGGAGGGAGCCGAGTCGGTGTGTGAGGTTGGGAGTTTACGACTAGCCGGACTCACCCCAATGCATGGCTCTGGCTCCAGAACCAGGTTCCTTGAGAGGGGCTGCCTCCAGTGTTGAGGCGGCCGACCAGAGCTGTGGCCGCTAGGTCGTCGGTTCCTGCCGTGGCGGCAACCCCGAACCCGCCGGTGCCCACCAGCGGTGGGAGCCGTACTCAGCAGACCTCCGTAAATCCATCGGTAAGTCTTTCAGTGAGGAAGTGGAGTCCGAGTACTTTGGGTCCAATCTCTGGTGCTGAGGTCACTGAGCAGGTCAAAAAGCTCCTCTGTGGCAAGGCTCCGGGTGGATGAGATCCGCCTGGAGATCCTAAAGGCTCTAGATGTTGTAGGGCTGTGGTGGCTGATGCAGCTCCACAATATCAAGTGGCCATCAGGGGCAGTGCCACTGGACTGGCAGACCAGGGCGGTGCCCCTACTTAAAAAGGGGGGCCACAGAGTGTGTTCCAACTACAAGGGATCACACTCCTGAGCCTCCCTGCTAAGGTCTACTCAGGGGTTCTCCGCAACCTTTATGGACAGGATTTCTAGGTGCAGCCAAGGTGTGGAGGGCATCCGTTTTGGTGGCCTGAGGATCAGGTCTCTGCTTTTGCAGATGATGTGGTCCTGTTGGCTTCATCAGAACGTGATCTTCAGCTTTCGCTGGAGCGGTTCACAGCCGAGTGTGAAGCAGCTGGGATGAGAATCAGCTCCTCTAAATCTGAGACCGTGGTCTTGATTCGGAAAAGGGTAGAATTCCTTCTCCGGGTCAGGGATGAGGTCCTGCCCCAAGTGGAGGAGTTTAAGTATCTCGGGGTCTTGTTCACGAGTGAGGGAAAGCTGGAGCGTGAGATCGATAGGTGGATTGGTGCTGCATCTGCAGTGATGCGGGCGTTGTACCGGTCTGTCGTGGTGAAGAGAGAGCTGAGTCAGAAGGTGAAGCTCTCGATTTACCGGTGGATCTACGTTCCTACCCTCACCTATGGTCACGAGCTTTGGGTAGAGACCGAAAGAACGAGATCATGGATACAAGCGGCCGAAATGAGTTTTCTCCGAAGAGTGGCTGGGCTCTGTCTGAAAACATTTCTGATGTTAAACTGATCAGTGTAGTAGGTTTTCTGTTAATGCTGCCTTCTCTCTCTCTCTCTCTCTCTCTCACACACACACACACACACACACACACACACACACACACACACACACACACGGTGCAACCAAGTTCTTTTCATCTTATTCCTGCATCTTCCCCATCTTGTCTCTTCAATTCTGTCTAGTGTGTGTGTGTGTGTGTGTGTGGGGGGGGGGGGGGTCCGTGTGTGTGTGTGTGTGTGTGTGTGTGTGTGTGTGTGTGTGTGTGTGTGTGTGTGTGTGTGTGTGTGTGTGTGTGTGTGTGTCATGCTGTTCTCTTGTTCGTTTCCCCGTTGTCCCTCTTGGCTCTTCAATCACTTCCTATTAGGACGCCATGTAGTGGTGCTGAGGTTCTGTCAGAACCCGGGCACGTTCCTCCACACCAGGAACCGAGGGGTTCTACAACTAACCGCAGAGCAAACATGTCCAAGTCTGATCCACCAAATGGTTTCAGCTAAAGAAACAAGAAATATGACTTAAAAA